TTTAAACCTGCGGTATGTTAAATGAATGGATAAGCACTTATGTGAGTAAATAAAAATATTTCATTATAAATACATGGAACTGGATTAACATATTGGATAGATATTTTCCTCCTAGAACTTTTGTCTGTTTGTAAGGACTAGTGGGTAGTGGGTAGTGGGTAGTGGATTTTTTATAGTCTGTTACACCAAAGTTGACTAATTGTTTAATGTACTTATCAACTCCTTGAACAAAAAGAAGAGGAAAACACTCTCTTTGGCAATCCCATTTAGCCCATTTGGCGTGGTCTTTGAAAGAATTTTTTATTGGTACAAATAGTTTGTCTTTGATTAAATTAGGGATGAAACTAATTGACGTGTACTTAAATTAATTTGAACACCTCTGACTGTTAAAACAAAAAAAAAAACTATTCACCAAAAGAACAGGAGAAGAAAACGTTGCTTTCTAAGCTTGTTTGGCTTTATCTTGTAACAAAAATATTGCCAAATGACTAGTATAATCTATTGAAACAAACGACAAGTTGAGATGTTATTTTTTTAGATTGTGATATATCTTTTTAATTGAATTCTATCAAGTATGTATATGTATATTGAAGGATATAGAGATATTTTGCGCACTTAACGTCATCTCTAACATCAAAGAGCTAACAGCAAGTTTCCATCATTGTTACAAATCATTCAATTAAGTAAGCCGACGACTGGTAATCAAGCCCGCATGCCAAACTGTCCTGTCTTTGTATTTGAAAAAATTCATCAAGAAAGCATAGATCGAGATATTTCAAGAATTAGTATATCGCAATTCAAGTTTAGTCTTACAAGGATATCTATTTACTTATACCCGTGATTTGTGAGTAATTATGAATATCGAAAATTGACATTATATCAACGATCCCAACAAGCACATGTTTAGACTGATATCTCTTTTTAATAATGTTTTGTTTGGTAAGGAGGATGAAAAGTAGTAATGATGAAAAATAAGAGGGATACACTTTATATCCTTCAAGGATGAAAAGTTGGAAAAAAAACACTTTTCTTCCTTTGTGTTTGGTTGGATGGATGGAAGGAAAATAAAAATGACTATTTTTTTTAGTGTTGGCTAAGATTAGAGGTGATAATAGAGTCGAGTCGTATCGTGTTAGATTCGTGTTAAATCATTACGAGTTTGTATCGAATATTAATCAAACTTAAGTTAACTCATTTAACTAATTGTGTCGTGTCGAGTTGCGAGTTGACCTATTTATTTTCGTATCGAGTTCGAGTCGTGTTATCGTGTTGAGTCGAAAATTTTCACCTTTAGTTAAGATAAAAAAAATATTTTTTTTTTAACTTAAAATTTTTATTTTTTTTGTTTTTATTTTTTTTAAAATTAATTTTTAAAATATACATACATAATTTACCATTGTATTTTTATATGAAATTAATGTATACATAAGATATATAGACAAATAAGATACATCTCAACACAAATAATTAACTTTTCATTCACTTTCCTTCCGATTTTGGAGGGATTGATTTTAGTGAGTTGAAAAGAAAGTTAATTCATCCATTTTTCCATCATTCCTACTTTCTTTCCTTGCCAAATATGATATTTTATTTATCCTTTCAATTTTTTATTTTTCCACTTTTCTATCGTACCAAACGGAACATAAGTTAAACATGGGTAAAGTCTCAAGTCTCAACAATGGCGTCTATTAATATTAAGGTCGGGAGCCCAGTTGGTAAAAGCAGCCCATACCCAGGCCATGACTGAAGCTTCAATCCCCGACTCCCAAATGTAACAATGTTGTTACAAGTATGCAGTACCGTCGAGAAGAGTATTAAGTGTAACGGTTATACTATATCAACCATATGTTATCTACCATCTTCATTCAAAATAAATTGGATTATTCATTACTCTTCAGCCAAATTTTTATAGTTTTTTTGTTGTAAACATACACTGGAGTGAGTAAGTTAAAAATAATAATTCAGAACTCTGACAGGAGATTTACGTGGTTAGATAAAAATTTTGCTTGTGTTTTATGGAAGCTTCCTAAGCCCTCTGTTGCTGTATACAAATGTGAACCATTCTGTTGCAGACCTTGTACTCCTGATATGTTTTAATTTAGCCACATCCTTGGCATCTTTCTCCAAGATCCTATAAAGAGCTAGACATGTCGGTAAGGGTCCGTAACGGATGGGCAGGGCCAGGCCTACATAACTCATACCCCAGGGTGGGCCATATACGACCCTAATAGGCCTATTTTCTAATTTCATCGAACCAACGCCCAGGTCGTGGGGCTTACTAGAGGGGCTGCTTAACAGGCCTAAGTGGTAAAAGTCATGGCCCGTGGCCTTTCCAATGGACTATCATGCTATCCATGGTAACAAGGCCAACGGGCCATTGACCCACGCCTAATCCGAAGCACCTTTTTGGGAAAATTGTAAACAGCTTACAATGGAAAATGAAGAACTATTATTCAGTGCTTCAAGTTGCTGTTAAAAGAAAGATTACTCTCTCTCTCACACACACACACACAAATAATGGTGGATCATCCAATTTAAAATATATTGGTCGAATTGATATCAACTAAGTAGCGGTACCCTTAAATCCTATGTTCCATTATGGAAATGGCTGCATGTAAACATAACTTAGCAAGTGGGACCTAAACATAAGATGAAGGATGCGAGTCTAATGTTCGCTTTAATATGATAGAAAAATAGAAGAATAGAAAGTTGAAGAGATAAATAAAATATTATGTTTGGTAAGGAAAGAAAATAAAAAGAATAGAAAAATAGATGAATAAACTTTCCTTTCAACTCACTAAAATTGATCTCTCCAAAATCGGAAAGAAAATAGATAAAAAATTAATTATTTGTGTTAAGATGTATCTTATTTGTCTATATATCTTTTAATATATGCATATATTATGTATACATTAATTTCATATAAAAATACAATGATAAAATATGTATTTATATATATATATATATATATATATATATATATATTTATTTATAAAATTTAAAAATAAATTATAAAATAAAAAATTTAAATTTAAAGAATATTTTTCCATCTTAATTAATCCAGATTTATTTTTTAATTAAAAATAGATCAACATGAATACAAACACAAATATGACACGAAAATAAACAGGTCAATTTGCAACTTGATACGACACAATTAGTTAAATTAGTTAAGTTAGATTTGACTAATGTTCGATACAAACCTGTAATGACTCACCACGAATCTGACACGACACAATTCGATTGTGACTCTTAATTTTAGCCAACACAAAAAAAAAAAATGTAATTATTTTTATTTTCCATCTATCCAACTAAATATAAGGGAAGAAAAGTGTATCATTCATACTTTCCTTCCTTGAATGATAGAAAATATATCTCTCCTACTTTCATCTTCTCTATTTTCTATCTTTTTTATCAAACGGAGCATAAGAAATTGTAAAATTATTTTTTTGGTATCGCACTTTATTTTTTCGTTAAATTAAACCATGTTACATAGATTTTTTTTTTTCACTTTTTTATTTTAGTCTACTATATTTACTATCCGCATCTGCGAACAGATTGAGACAAATTTTACTATTAAAAAACCATTCTGTGTGCCAATTGTGCTATGACTTTAGTGAAGTCACGATCATGGAGCAACTTTTCTCTTTTCAGTACATTTTCTACCGGAGGGAAAAAAAAAAGTTGAGTACATGACTTTAGTCTTTATATCATCCATTAATGGCAGACTTGGCTGTTTGTCATAATACAGAGCATCTTGTACCATACCACCCACAGTACTCCATGCAGTGCTGTGGCTAACTTGGCAGGGGTAGGAAAAATAATTCAAGTAGTAATAAAATTAAATTATAAATTTATGCGTTATAAATTTAAATTTTAATAATTTTTTGAATTCAAGTTAAAAGAGATTTATTCATTATGAATATTTTAATTTCGAAAATAGATAACTTATTTTTGACTAAATCATAGAGGTAGTTGGGATATACATAAACTAGTCTGAACACCCTAATTATTGAAAAAAAAAAAAAAGGAAAGGGTGACCTAACATCTAGTTTCTTAGTATTTAAGATTGAGTTGTTCTAAGGTTCATATTCTTTCATTTGTCGGTACAATAAAACCATTTATATTGGATGGTCTCAGGTTCAGGGTTAAATGTTAGTTGGGTAAAGGGTTAAGTCCACCTAATTGTAATTGTAGAAATATTTATAAACAACTGAATGTAAGTAGGTTTGAGTAATAACAAACTACGGATGATTTTGGACTAGTTAATGGTTGACAATGATGTCATGGGTATCGTGACTATTAATCGACACAATGTCACTCAGGGTAAACCAAGGCTAACTAGCCCTTGAAAAATCTCAACCCCTATTGTCATGGTTGCATACATTCTCTGGTTTTATTGTCGGAGCCGGGAAAAAAAAGCCAAACTGTAGACTGCAGTTCGGAATGGACTACAAGACCATTCTCAAACCGATGAAAATTTATGTATGGCGTTTAAAAAGTTGAATCAAAATAGTAAGAAGACTATCATGTATCCCTCATAAATAAAGCCTAATAAAAAAAAGCTTATCTATGACAACTAGGTAAATTTATATTTATTCTTCAAAAAGTTTAAAAATTTATACTTTATATATTAAATTATATACATTACACTTTTAATATATTAAAAGTATTACAATGTGACCCTTTAATTAAATTTTGTTATTCATTTCATAAACAATTATCCTATTAACTATAAGAAAAATTGACAAAAAAAAATTATATTATAATATGTTTAATATATTAAAAGTGTAATGTGAAAAACAAGAATAGCGCATATGACAGAAGTGATGGCATACAAATTCTTATTTTTTTGCCGAGGGTTCAATCATTCAACTTAGGATCACTTTGGTATTATGTAGTTTTTAAAAGGTAAAACAGTCATTTTAAAATATGACCACGACTTTATAAACGACGAGACCAATGAGATTTTTCTTGAGTGGGGTGGAGGGGTGAGCTCAATGGCTGCCATGGAGAAGGCTGTCGTCTCCAGCCGCGTTGGGTTGAAGAGGGAAGACTGTAAGCGCACCAAACATGACTCTGCTTTCTCTGATTGGAAGGTCAGTCTCCTCTCTCTCTCACTGTGTAACCTGTGGATTTCACCAACAACGCCATCTCTTTTATGATTGCCTTAAACCAGAGTAATGTTAAGCAAACAACTCAACTGAACACACACTCACACCCACAAAAAAAGAAGTAAAAAAGCAAATGTTAAAGATGAGACTAGATCACAGGGTCCAGTTAGTTTACACAGTCTTACAGATAGAGTTCCCTTCCAATGGATACTTGGCTTATAAAGTGTTGGTTGTGGTATTTCAAATATAATAAAATTTCTTCTTAAAATTTCTGATTTGAAACTTGTAATGTACAACAAAACAGTAATAATGAAGTGCAAAACAGTTATACAAAAAATTGAAACAATTACAAAAGAAGTAACGGAACAGTTATAATAGTCTTAACCACATAACTGTTTGTCAAACCAATATAAATATTAACCCGGTTGTAGAATAACAATTGTTATTGAATTTTATGTAGATCAAGTCTAGTGTTTGACACTATATCTTTAAGGCAAATTCCCCCCCCCCCCACACACGGTGCTTATAGAATATAAGATGTTTGTCTCCCATGATACAATAATCTTCACGTAGAAGTAGCAGTTTAATCTATTCGTCTAGCGAATCAGAAATTGTGTTGTATACTTTTCAAATATAGACTGCCTTAATATTGTATGAGACTGCCTTAAATGACTACGAATGCATTGAATGAAATTGGATATAAAATGATTATGTGACTAAGTTATTTATAAAGAAAATGGTGACTGATTCGAACAGTCACCATATGAACAAATGTAACCTAACAAACACATGTAGCTAGAAAATATCACTTGTGTAACTAGTCTATATGAACAAACACAACTCAGTTTTTTAGATTTGAGAGAAGCAAAAAATCCAAACTAGTGTGATCTAACGGATATCGAAAATTAAATTTTGGATTAAGAAATTCACGCCCAAATAATTAAATGAATTTTTTCCCAAAAAATAGGGTTTGGTCTAAACCACACCCGAAAGTATGTAGGCGCTCGCTCCTCTCATAAAATTGTGGTACTCCTTGAGGTCCAATCCCATAGAGCAAATTTGACCTAAATATGCTCATGTAGTACTTTTTCCTCAACCAATGTGGGATTGGTGTCAAATCCCACATTGCACAACCTTTATTTTCACATTTTAGGAGGGACATTTTGAAGCCTATTTTCTTATTCATTTCTTATTCGATTTGAGCAAGTGAATATATTAAATTATTCTCTCAACGGAGTAGAATACGAACATATGAAAATTTACTCGAAACAACGAACATGTTCCACTTTAATTTAGACTCAAAGTCGACCAAAAATTTAATTTTTATACTTAAAAAACTATTTTGGTCCAACAATCTCCCATATGAATGAAAATTTGGTTGTTAGTATGCAAATGATAATGCTGACACACTATAGAGAAGACATCTTTGGAAAGATCGTGCATCGAGATAGGGAATTTTTGGCGTTGAACCTTCCCTAGTGAAAGCCCATTGGACTTACCGACTAAATAGTGAATGTGATGTTTTGAACTCTTCGGCTGTTTGATAAATCAAATCTAATAGATTTCACACAGTCTCTTTCCTAACACAATTGGTTCTCATGATTGTGTTCATTTTGGCTCTGAACAACTTCTGATTTTCATGAGTATTTTAGAGAATTCAGCCTTATATAAATTCTCACAGAAGTTGGCCCCTTCGCACTCATATAGGTGACTCCTATTAAGAATATCCTAAAATATTCTACTTGAATTTTCAAGGTATAAAAGTCATTAAAAACATAGCTTACCCTAAATAAACTCTGCAAACAATACTAGTTTATCATAGGAATAGGTAGGAGAGATTATCTTCTTAGTGCTTCTTTTGAATCACGCATAATTTGGTTGTCCCTTTGAACCTAGATCTTGGGATCTCCAGTCAACTAGGTTGGGTTGCCATTAAGACGACCCCTCGATGTGCAATTTACTTGCTCTCTTGTCAAACCTTTAGTAAATTGATCCGTTAGATTATTATTTGATTTTATATAATCAATAGAAATGATCTCATTTGAGAACAAACGGTATTATGTCTACGACGTATATGTCTAGACTAATAATTATGCATGTCACTCTGTGCCCTACCAATTACAAATTGGCTATGCAATGTATACAAATTGCTAGCACATGTTTAGGTCATATTGGAATATCCTCTAGAAATTGGTGACGCCACTCAGCTTCCTCTCCTGCTTTATTTAAAACAATAAACTCAGATTCCATTGTAGATCTGAAAATGCACGTTTGCTTAGAGGATTTTCAAAATACAGCTGCACCACCAAGTGTAAAAACATAACCACTTGTGAATTTTGTATCTTTCATATCAGATATCCAATTTGCATCATTATACCCTTCAAGTACAGCTGAATATCTTGTTAGTGCAATCCAAAATTAAGAGTATATTTTAAGTATCTAAGAACCCTGATAATTGCCTTCCAAAAGTCTACTCTCAGATTATTCGTATATCTACTCAATTTACTAACTGAGTATGTTATATCCGGTGTGGTGCAGTTCATGACATACATTAGACTGTCAATGATACGATAGTATTCCAATTGTGATATATTTTGACCAGTATTTTTAGACAAATAAAGATTTATATCAATTGGTATTCTTGCAATGCTGTTTTCATCTTTGTCGAACTTCTCAAGTATTTTTTCAATATAATGTGATTGAGATAATATAAGTCAATTAGATGTTATAGAAATTTTAATTCTTAGTATAACATCTGCAACACCAAAATCTTTCATGTCAAACTTACTAAATAACATTTTTTTGGTAGTTGTAATAATATTATTATTACTACCTAAAATAAAATAAGCATATCATCCACGTATAGGTAGACAATGACATATCTATTATTTGTGTCTTTGACATAAACACATTTATCACATTCATTAATTGTGAAACCATTTGACATTATTACTTTGTCAAATTTCACATTTCATTGTTTTAGTGCTTACTTTAAACCAAAAAGTGATTTAATAAGTTTATAAACCTTTTTCTCTTATCCCAGAGAAACTAACCAGTGTGATCCAACAGATACCGAAAATTAAATTTTGGATTAAGAAATTCAGGCTCAATTAATTAAACGAATTTTTTTCAAAAAAAATAGGGTTTGGTCTAAACCACACCCACACTCGAGTCGGGTCGGGTCGTGGAGTGGCAGGAGGCACGTTTGGTAGTACTGAAAGCATGTAGGCATTTGTTCCACTCATAAAATTGTAGAACCCCTTGGGGCCCAATCCCATAGAGCAAATTTGACTTATATATGTCCATGTAGAATTTCTTTCTCAACCAATGTGGAATTGGTGTCAAATCTCACATTGCACAACCTTTATTTTTACATTTTAAAAGGGTTATTTTTTAACCAATTTTCTCATTCATTTCTTACTCGATTTGAGCAAGTGAATATACTACATTATTCTCCTCATGGAGTAGAATACGAACCCACGAAAGTTTACTCGAAACAATGAACAGATTCCATTTTAATTTAGGCTCAAAGTTGACCAAAAATTTAGTTTTTACACTTTAAAAACTGTTTTGGTCCAACGCAAAGTATATACAAGGGAGATTGTGATTGTGCAAACCCAAATTATCTAAGCATCATTTATCTAAGTTATAAGCCATAAACTTTGATTATATGAGCATTGAAAAGTATACGATCGTCCTATTTAATTGCCAATTGCAGAAAACACATTTGAGTTGGTGATTTTGCTTGAAAACCTGGACCTTATCTTGGGTATTTACTTCTCAGCCACATAAGAAAAGATTTCCTTTGAATCCCTTTTGCAAACCACGCTAATGGATGCCATACCACTCCATGGAAGACGGCTAGAGTTTCCTGAGCAAATTTAGCTGTAAAATGTCAATCTCAAAAAAAGCCTTTTTTTTTTTTATCAAAAAAAAAAGGTCTTTGTTTTCAATTTTTTTTGGTTGGAATATAAGTGGGTTGCAGCATTTTCGGTTCAAAGGTTATGAGTTTTGACTTGATCATTATGCAATTAATACAGATTTTGTGTTACGCCGTCTAACACGACCAATTAAGTAGATCCAGTAAGGGTTAGCTGATATGCTCAATAACAATAAAAATTGATAAAACCCAACTACGACACGACTCGATTGAGATCTATTCTTCATCACCTTTTAGAGAGCAAACAATATGCAACCTTCCTGCATATAATAATGCCTTGTTCATCCATACATTAGGGTTATCATTTTGTTAAATTGATAAAAAAAATCCCGAGACAAGTCATAATATAAGGTGTTGTGAAGGTATAAATTTTCTCACTTTTTTTCCCTAAATATTCTCTGGTCTTGATTGCATACAAGTTCACAGTCAATTTCATCGCTTTAAAATGCTCTTTTAGGTAGAAATCTTTGCAGGAATTTTCAGCTAATGCCAATTTTGTGGGTTGCAGAGAAAATACGTAACATTCTCAGTATAGACATATTTGATCAGCCCTCCTACCTGCAATTTGTAGCAAAGAGCTTGTTTTCATACACTGTTGAGCTCAATGATAACGATTACACTAGGTTTTCTCACTATTTCGAACGATAATCTATAGGAGTCCTCATCTTTGTGCCCAAAGCCTACATACTTGATCTGCCACAGAATTTGAATTCCTCTTTAGGGTTAGTTTAGTTGATGTCAGAAAGACCATCCCGGACAGCTGAAAGTTGTTCTAAAAATTGCAGGCACTGTGCAAACCTCCAAACAAACTAATAACTAATTCCTATCTCATGTTGAATAGCTTTTCTACATCCCCAAGTAGCGTGTATTCTTTCTCCTGGTGTGAAAAGTGTTTGATTATAGATGCATTCTATATTGTTATTGTCAGATTCTTGTTGGGGCGTCAGATTGGGAAGACCATTTACTGGGGAAGCAAGGAGAAGAAAGATATAGGATTCACAACCTCCCCAATTGTTCTTCTTGCCCAGGAGTTTATGAGCTTGGCATATCTGTATCACGCCCCCGGTCAGGGCGAGATTTCAGCAAACTTGACCCAGATTTCATAATTCCTGTTTACATTGGTCAAGCTGACAGTGTTAGGACAAGACTCCAGCAGTATGGCCGTGATGGTGCTCATTTAGGGAATGGCTACTCAAACTGCGAGCTGAATAATGGCAGGAATTGTTTCGTCCTAAAAGGGCCAGGATTGTTTACAGATACATTCAAAAAAGGATTCTCCATCGTTTATAGATGGGCTCCAGTAAGTATATGATCTTTCAATTTTCACATTTGGATTGTTTGAATGTGCTTTTCCAACTTATGTTCTGTATTTGTGATACATATCATTTGATATAGCAAATTTTATGAAATCGTGAAGAGTATGGTTGGACCCATGTACATTATGAGTTCACAAAAAGTAAGTAGAAACTCCATGGAGGTCTGCAGATTTTTGCAATCAATTATACTTTTTTCTACTCACATTCTTCCCCGTGATTACTATATGCTTGTGGACTTCTGACACCATCATACAGGCTTGTTGTGCCATGCTTTATGGCTAAAATAATTAGTTCCTACTAAGGTGGATCATTTTGTTAAAATTATGATCATTTATGCAAGAACAAATAAAAAATAAGATTAAAACTGCTGCGTAAAAATCTAATTTTGTAGTTAATTTTGAAGTAGGATGCATCAAAATTTTAAGCACTACAGCTTCTGAAAAAAGCAAAAAAATAATTTCAATTACCGCCATTGTAGTATTTCAAAACAATATTTGCATACATTTTCTGGGACAAAAACAACATTTCATCATCCATTTTCTCTCCTTTCAATTGTAAATTCAGCCTTCCTATAAGATAGTGAATGAGCACTCGTTGGAGTTCCAAGTGGAATTATGCATCGATATATGCTTCAAAGTTACTTCTATCTTCCTTCAGGGATGGCAAGTGGAATGAAGGGGTAAAGTATAAAAGGCTTATTTCATAAAATTTTGCATATATTTGTGCATTATGATCTTACAAGCCAACAGACATGCATATAAACACAAAAAATTTCCATAGCTACACAATACACATCAATTCTAATGACATATACATGTTCAGCTATTATTTGAGATCTGCCATGATTGTTTCATTCCTCTTCTTGAAGGTTCTTTTTGATGACCTCGTCTTGCATGTTCAACAGATGAAAAATAAGAGTGAAGCTGAAAAAACAGAAGCTCAGCTGCTTGACAAATTTGATTATGCTTGGAACAAAGGCAATAATGGAGAACGACGCCACAATGATGTTCTCCAAAAACTTGTTCAAATGTCTTCAAGTGATTTCCTTTCTCGAGTTTTCAAATTTGGCAGATCACAGCCTAGATTAGTTTCCGTGAGATTTGGTGTTGAGGGCCATGATAGCATTTGTGGTGTGGCTCTAGGTCATGGATCTATCTGTACAAGACCACCAACTGAGGGAAGAAAAAGGTGTGCTGAGCATAAAGGGATGAAAGTCAATGGTTCTAATACAATGTTCATTTGTGGAGTTTCCTTGCATGATGGCTCTACTTGTACGAGGGAACCAGTACAGGGAAACAAAAGGTGTGAGGAGCATAGAGGGAGAAGGATCCATGGATCCGTTTGTAGAACAGTGACAGAAGAGAAAGTACAATATGTGCCTGGTCCAGTTTTTGAATATAGACAAAAGTCCCATGTTTCCTCGGGGAGGTCTGGTGTCAACAAGGGTTACACTACTATATGTGGGGTGAATTTCGCAGATGGGACTTTCTGCACAAGGCAACCTGTTTTAGAACGAAAGAGGTGTGAGGAACATAAAGGGATGAGGGTTAAGGAGCCTAAGCCGAAATTGTTAGAAGCAGAAATACCCAGTGTGTATGATGGTTCAGTTTCCCGAACTTGTAATGACAATAAGTACAATAATGCCCCTGCTCGGTCAGTCGATAAGGAATTTATTCCAACTTGTGGGGCAACCACCCTTGATGGTTCCTCATGCAGTAGGAAACCAGGTGAAGGTAACAAACGGTGTTGGCAGCATAAAGGAATGAAGGCTGACACAAGTTCGGGGTATTATGGCTCCTCTTCTCGATCGGCCTCATATAGTACTTTTATCGATGAGGGCTTTTCATCAACTTGTGGGGCAACCACCCTTGACGGTTCCTCGTGCAGTAGGAAACCAGCTGAGGGTGACAAACGGTGTTGGCAGCATAAAGGAATGAAGGCTGACACAAGTTCGGGGTATTATGGCTCCTCTTCTCGATCGGCCTCATATAGTACTTTTATCGATGAGGGCTTTTCATCAACTTGTGGGGCAACCACCCTTGACGGTTCCTCGTGCAGTAGGAAACCAGCTGAGGGTAACAAACGGTGTTGGCAGCATAAAGGAATGAAGGCTGACACAAGTTCGGGGTATTATGGCTCCTCTTCTCGATCGGCCTCATATAGTACTTTTATCTATGAGGGTTTTTCATCAACTTGTGGGGCACTCTGCCGTAATGGTTCCTATTGCCGTAGGGCACCAGCTCAAGGGAGGCGAAGGTGTTGGCAGCATTAAATCCTTCTGTAGCAGCACAATGCAGGAGTTTGTTCCCACTTATTAAATTGTCTAAATGAGTAGTGTATATTTAAACCTCTCCAAATTCTGCAGTTGCTAGATTCTGGTGCAGTGGGCTCTCTTGTAGGAGAATGCCAATTCCTAGAATGAAGAGGCCTAAGAAGCTTAAGGGAATGAGAGTTACAACTCCCAGAAGGAAACTGGTCCTCTGAGCTGAATCAGGTTAATGTGTATGGCTATTAAATTATGTTTGATTTTGTTTCGCGACAATAGTTGATATTGTATGCAACTTGGTATCATAAGAAAGTGTGTTCTATTTAATGGTTCGCAGTTTACTTTGATTGTGTAGTGTAGTGTAGTTGATGGGTCCGTTATCTCTAAATGCTTAATCGGATAATTGGACCAGTCATACGTCAGTTTCATACCCATGTGTGCTGTCTGACCCTCTCTGGATTCTCTAATGGCAAGAGCTTGTATTATTTTCTTTAACCATTTCTATGGGTTCAACTATATCACCGAAAAATAGTTTTGTTATAATACATCAAATAAAATTTTGAAAAAGTCAAAATGTGTACCCAGATAGAATAAAGTTATGAAAATGGAAACTTAATGACTTGACATTAAGAGTTATATACTTAACATCCAATAAATCTAATTTTGTGTAATTTTGTACAATTCTCTATAAATAATACAGTTAAGTCATTTATTGATTTTTAATTACAAGTCTTATTTATTGGCTTTAAAAAATTTTAATTGGGTTATATTTTTATAGAGTTTTTTTTACTAGGCCTAAACATGTTATAAATATAAATCTTTGGCATAAGTTACTAATACACACAAATTTTGGGTCTTCCATCCAGGCGGTACGGTAGCGACTTAGTGATTGAGCCGGCCCTTAATGTAAGACCTCCAAATAAAATTTTGATAGAATTACGCTGAGATCGTTTGAATTTTGTCACTTAATCATTCAGACTTTTTGACATTTAAAATATTAAACACAGACTTCCTGAGATTCGTATGCACATAACACTTAGACCCCTATCGTCAAATGTCCGTTAGTAAATTACACTCAGACTCTCTAAAGTTTGTAAGCATATAATATCTGAACCCTTCAAATTTAAAATATTATATTTAGACAAAAAATCATTCAACCAAAGATAGAATATCAATTTTGTTAAAATTTTATAACCAAAATTCATGTTTCATTGTATCATTTATTGAAATAAAATTTAAAATAAAAAATTATTTTTTTCTTAATACAATTATATTATTTATTAAAATAAAACTAAAAAATTAAATAAAGGGTATAAGTCATTCATAATAGAACATGAATTTTACAACCAAAATTAATATTATATTATATAATTTATTGAAATAAAATAAAAATAAATTTTTTTTAAAAAAAATCATAAATAGTATACAATTATAATATCTATTGAAATTTAATTTGGTCGTTTAAACGACCAAATTAAACTACCAAATTACCCCAATTAAAACTAGAATATATTGTGTCCATTAGAGTTTGACTCCTTATTTGATATTTTAGTTTTTATTTTAATAGATAGTATAATTGTATACTAATTATAATTTTTTAAAGAAAAATTAGATTTTTTTTTATTTTATTTTAATAAATGTCATAATTGAACATGAATTTTGATTATAAATTTAAAATATTTGATATTCTATCTTTGATTGAATTATTTTTAGTCTAAATATAACATTTTAAACTTGAGAGGTCTATGTATTATACGCCTACAATCTTCAGAGGGTCTAGATATAATTTATTAACAAATATACTAACGGATATTAACAGTAACAGTGTAAGTGTTACGTGCTCCAAATTTTAGGGAATTTGTGTATAATATTTTATATGTCAAAGGATTTGAATGATTAATTGACAAACTTCAAAGAATCTAAATTTAAGTCCTCCAATTAATTTTTTTTAAAGTTGTTTGAAAAATAAAACAATTATTTAGAGGTTTTTGAGAAATTTGGAGGCCGGTCCCTTTATATGGACTTGTTTGAACTTAAGTTCGTCAGAAAACTTATTTGTTATGAAGTCCATTTTTTGTCAATTTTACCATACTATCCTTCCCCTTTAGAAGTGAAATAAAATTAAAAATTAAAAACTCATAAATCTTGGGAGTTTGACTAATATTAAAATATTTTCTCTCTCATATCTATTTATATCCATATATAGGTTAAGAATTTGACTAACATTATTTTTTTTATTTGAATATTACTATTTTATATTTTTAATGTTACTATATATAAATAAAAAAAATAATAACATTCAAATATAAAAAATAATACATTTAAACACAAAAAAATAGTACCATTTAAACATAAAAAAATTAAAACATTCAATATAACTATTTTTAAAAAATAACAACAGTAACATGTTCAATAAAAATACTAACATGTTCAACAAAAATAGCAACATACTTAACAAAAATTATAACATACTTAATAATAATTATTTCTCTCAAATTCAAACCCAAAAAATAGTACCATTCAAATACAAAAAATAGTAATATTAAAAAAAAAATAGTAACATTGAATATTAATATTTAAGAAAATAATTGTAAGTAACATGCTCAACAAAAATAGTAACATGCTCAAAAATAATAGTACATGAACAGTAACATACTCAACAAAAGTAGTAACATAAACAGTAACATAATAAAAAAAAATAGTAACAAGAATTTGAATTTTACTATTCAAATTCATAGTAATTTTTTTTTATATTTGAATATTACTATTTTTTTTAATGTTACTATATATATATATATATATATAGATAAGAGAAAAAAAAAATTTAATGTTAGTCAAACTCTTAATCTATATATGGATATATATAGATATGAGAGAGAAAAGATTAATTTCTTATAAGAAGGGTATTTTTGAGATAATGAAAAAAATGGACTTAAGTCATTACATATAATTTTAAACATGAACTTATCCTCTTATAAATTTTCTTATAATAATTATCTCCATACAAATACATCTAAGAAAACTCACTTCTAATTTTTACTTTAATATTTCCCGGCTTAAAAGTAACAAGTTGGCACAAGCAAAAAAACAAAAAAAAAAACAAAAACAAAAAGAAGAAGAAAGAAATTGGTTTATGTCACGTCATCTAGAGAAATCGACGTGACATTGTCTGAACTCTGAACCTCTTTTGTCTATAATCAATCTCGTCCCCGTCTAGATAGCCATCGGCTATAAATTCGTCAGCAGAGAATGAATGGATAAGCACTTGTGAATACATGGGACTGGATTAACATATTGGATAGATATTTTCCTCATAGAACTTTTGTCTGTTAGTAAGGATTAGTGGGTAGTGGGTTTTTTTTTTATAGTCTGTTACACATCAAAGTTGACTAATTGTTTAATGTGCTTATCTCTATTGAACAAAAAAAAAAAAAAAAGCATTCTGTTTGGTCATCCCATTTACGCCAATTTGGCATTGTCTTTGATAGAATTTTTTATTGGTATGAGTGGTTTATTTTTGATTAAATTAGAGAGTAAATTAATCGAAGTATGCGTAAGTTGACTCAGACACTCCTAAATATTTAAAAAAAGAAAAAATTATTTTCCAAAGAAACAGGAGAAGAAAACTTTGTTTTCTAAGCTTTTTTGGCTTTATCTTTTAACAAAAATATTGCCAAATGACTAGTATAATCTATTGAAACAAACGGCAAGATGAGATTTTTTTTATTAGATTGTGATCTATCTTTTTAATTTGAATTCTATCAAGTATATATATGTATATTGAAGGGTATATAGATATATTGCGCACTTAACATCAAAGAGCTAAACAGCAAGTTTCCATCATTGTTGCACAACATTCAATTAAGTAAGCCGACCAAATTGCCCCGTCTTTGTATTTGAAAAAATTCATCAAGAAAACTCAAATTGAGAGATTTCAAGAATTATTATATCACAATTTAAGTTCAGTCGTACAATAATAGCTATTTATTTATACGCATGATTTGTGAGTAATTATGCATGTCAAAAATTGGCATTACATCAACGATTCCAAAGAGCACATGTTTAGAATGGTTTCTCTCTTTACTAAGTTAAACATGGGTAAAGTCTCAACAATGGTGTCTTACTGTTAAGGCCGGGTGGGTCAGCCCAGCTGGTACAAGCAGCCCATACCCGGGCCATGACTGAAGCTTCGATCCCCAACTCCCAAATGTAATAATGCTCTTACAAGTATGTAATATAGTCGAGATAAGTGTTAGGTATAACGGTTACACTACATCATTCATATATTATCTATTATTTTCATTCAAAAATAAATTGGATTATTCATTACTCTTCAGCCAAATATTTTAAAAAAAAATTGTTGCAAACATACACTGCGGTGAGTAAGTTAAAAATAATAATTAAGAACTCTGACAAGATATTTACGTGGTTAGATAAAAATTTTGCTTGTGTTTCATGGAAGCTACCTAAGGCCTCTGTTGCTGTATACAAATGTGAACCACTCTGTAGCAGACCTTGCGCTCCTACTATGTTTTAGCCACATCCTTGGCATCTTTCTCCAAGACCAAGATCCTATAAAGAGGTAGACATGTCGGTAAGGGTCCGTAACGGATGTGCAGGGCCAGGCCTACTTAACCCATTGCTCAGGGTGGGCCACATACGGCCTAATAGACTTAAGTGTAAAAAAATACATAAAAAAAAATATTGGGTAATTAAGTTTTTAATTTTGATACTTATTTATATCTAAGTACATTATTTGAATTTTACTGATTTTTTTGTGATATTTTCACCTTCCATTAATCCATGTGTATTTAATGCACCACTTTTTTTTAGAAAGTGGTGCATTAAACATCTTTTAGTTTTATGAGAGAATTTAAATATATATATATATATATATATATATATATATATATATATATCTATTTATATAAATACTTATGTATGTATATTCTTATTGTTAAATTTCTTATCTTAATTTTAAATTATCTTTTAATACATCTTAATTTATTCATTTTTAAATTAATCAACATTCGAATAGTGTAATAGTATAACAATAACAGTATAACAGTAACAGTGTAACACTAACAGTGTAACGGTATAACAATAACAGTGTAACAAGTTATTTACACAAAATATTATACTATTACAATTTGTCAAATATATAGTTTCAAATAATTTCATTCAAAATAGTACATCTCCGTTTTGAATTTGTTACCACATATACAAATCTACTGAACATTGTTTTTGTTACAGTGTATTTGTTACACTGTCTTTGTACACTATTACATTATTCGGATATTAAATTAATTTAAAAATAAAATAATTTTCCAAAAAAAAAAATAGTGTTCGAATCTAGG